TATAATGTGTCTGCTCCCACACGTTGCTCGACCTCTCCGCCACCGTCAAAGGAACGAGCACCTGAAGCCCTAACCCTCAAATTCACTCGTTTGTTAAATCAAAATTAGATCGGAGATGTTATGGCGATTCAGACCGCCGCCGTCTGGCTATGCCAGGTGAGATAGCAGCCGGGCTTATGTGAAATGCGGCAGAGAGGCGTGAGAATTGGGTCTAATTTTTGGGGGCAGCCTATTGAGAATTGAATACCTTCCAAGGGCTTGTTTGTAATTTTATAAGTTTAATATATTACAATTTGTAGGGTCAAATTTGCAAGTTGCAACTAATGAAAAATAATTAGTATTTTAATACATTTATATTTTATGTGCTGAAAATAAAATGATATTTTTGTATAAAAATATAAAAAAAATAATAATTTTTGTATATAGATTTGACTTTCGGTAAATTCGATTATTTAAATAAAAAAAACGTCATCGTACTAAAATACTCGTTTGTTTAGAAATGAAAAAAATAATAATAATCAAAACGGACTATAGTGAACAAAAAAAATTAGTTCGTTCGATCTCGTTCGATATTGTGCGATCTGGTAGGCAATAATGTGCAATGCATATAACTTTAATGTGCAACCGTAATAAAATATATATAAAGAAAAAATAATATTGTTTTGTTCATATAGTTCCGTCGATTCAATCATTTTTTAAAAAATAAAATCGTATCGAATTAAAATAACAATGATTTAAAAGTAATAATAATCGAACCAAAATATAAGTTTTGATTCGAAAAATTTAGTTCGATAGTTCGATTGGTTCAATTATTCATTATAAAAACTAAAGCCGGAATTGAAAGGAAATAACCGTGATTTTAAAAGGAAAACCATATAATAGAATTGAAATATAATTATGAATTGCAAAATTCAATTCAGCCGGTTCGGTCTTTATGGTGCAATCTGACAGTCACTAATGTGCAATTCATCTAACGCTATTGTGCAATTGCAGCTTATGCATTTTTTAATGTTTTTGTTCTAATATAAACTAAAATGAAACTATTGAAATAAACGTGATTTAAAAAGTAAAATTAGATATTTAGACCGAAATTATATTGAGTGATCTGATAGTTTTTATAAAGTGCAACGCATTGATATATAATGTGCGCTACTGTAAATTATCATTTGATCACATTGATTAAGCGTAATTTAGGGTATTTAATGAAAATTTTGAATTTACATTAATTAAAATTTCGAAAAAAATATGCAGGAAGAGAAAGAAAAAAGAGTTGACTTTGATCCAAGAGAAGCCATGGTGCAATAACGCAGGTCAGGACCAAGTCGTGTTTGGCTAATATAGAGTGCAACG